TGCGACGATGGAATGACTTTCTCATCTCGGCAGGCGGTCGGACTTCGGGCTCGGAATATAGTTCCTTCCGACTCATTTCTCCACAGCGGGACGGGACGGCCAGGCCCGAGCTCCACGCAGCGGTTTTCTGGTGTTTTGGGACGAAAAAAATGCTGGAGGACCCGGCAGTGTGTTCGTAACCTGGACCTTGCACCGACCCGACCTGGCGGCTTCCTCACTTAAATTCCACAAGCAATCGCCGAACACCAATGGGCGCAGTTCGTTCCGTCGCAGTTACGATGCGTCCTGCTCGACATCGTTGCGGCGTATCCACTACGTAATGCATGGCATCCATTTGCTATGTTCACTGCGTATTTTTTAACTCGCGTAAGGCATACCTTACGCTGAACGGATTATCTTATCGGCGAAAGGGTTGAACTTGAGAGCTCTCCCTTGGGGACACAGACGTCAATATTGAGCCCTGTGTCACTTCTTTCCCTCCTCACATCTCCCTCGTCCCTGAAAACGGGCTCAACTGCAGACTATTGACTTGGAAAGCCCCCTTCATCGCCAAATACGGCCTGATCAATGTCCATTTTCGGTTGAAGACCATCCAGGCAGAAGACGGCTTCATGGCCATGGAAAATGCTATACAATATGGAACCCCCTCCGAAGATTTGCAGAGGCACTTGTCTCCGGTTTTCCGTACCCTCGGCCAGCTCTATTGTTCTTCGTGGAGCAATAGGTCGCAATACAGGGAAACGACATTCCTTCGGCAGCAGTGCAATGTGAATTTCCCCAGAAGTCTTTCAGCAGGCCGTCTAGTAGATCGTCGCGCAGTATAGCCGGCGAGCATATAACCCCGTCGTCTTTCCAGACAAGATGCTGCGTTTCTTGATCATCAGCTTCAACTAATACACTCACACACTACTCAGCTTCCCGCTCCCACCAGCAATAGCAATCACCTCCCGAACTTCTCTACTTCTCATATTCTCGATTTGATCTGTTCAATTACCAGCGAACCATCGTCACTATGGTCTACCAACCTAGTTTCCTGACTCTGTCAGTCGTATTCTTGGCCTCAATCGCGGCGGCTCGCCCCGATAACCTGAGAGGACGAACACCTCCAAACCCCAATACCTGTCCCTGTCTGCCGGAGGGCACACCAAGCGTTATCACCAAGACCGAGACCGCCCATTCCACAGTCTACCAGACCGCTTCGGCTTCTTTTGTCCAGGAGACCGTCACGGCTACCCTCACAGTTACGCGCCAACCAGTAACTCAGATCGAGACCCGAACCGTTCACGTCACCAAGACCAAGACCGCCGAGGAGCAGGAACAAGTCACCGTCACCTGCACCGAAGTCATCAGCGAAGGTCCCGATGGCTCAGCAACCACCAAGACCAAGGCCCCCGGAGGCCACGAACACACCAAGACGAAGACGCGCACCGGCCACGGCGGCTCCGAGACGACTGCGCCGGGCCATGATGACGACGAGCAAGCCACCCAAACAGACTCCGCTTCTGCCTCTGCAACGGCAACGGCAACAGCAACGCACACCGGCTCGAACGGCGGCAAGCCCACCAACAAGCCTCCCCATGGTGGTGATGGCGGCGATGGCGATGGCGATGACGATGACAACGGCAGTGGCTCCAACCCGACCTCAACCCACCACTGCAACCACTGGAACGGCACCAAGTGCGTCAAGCCGACTGATGCTCCTAGTGACTCCGCCGTCACTCTCACGGCCACGGCCACGGCAACCGCAACGGCGACGGGCACGATAACCGACATCGCTTTGCCGACCTACTCGGTCTGCTCCGTCTCGGTGGCTCTCGTCACCATCTACAATACGGTTACCGCGACCGTCTACCAGACCGGCACAGCCCCTGTACACAAGCCTCGCGCGCCGACAGCATTGGCCGCCTGGTAGTTTGATTGCCTGCATGGGTTTTGGCTGTGATATATCGATGGAAGTATATGGGGACGACATATTTCTCCCTTTAGTAAGGGTGGTAATGGTGAAAAAGTAATGTCTACTGTAGTTAGGAAGGATTTCAATAATCTCAAGGTGTTTATGTCAAGCTTCGAGATGCACAAGTGACGGGAAGGGATTGCCCGGGGACGTCGAATTTACTAACCAGAAGTGAAAGTGTATAGTTACAGTATTTATACAACACATAAAACGTCTTGGGTTCCCATTGAACAATGATGGGCGGCTTGGATCCAAGACATAAGTACGCTCAACTGGACGAGGCAATTGTCATGAGCGATATCGAAAGCCCATGAAATCGTCCTCGTCCTCGTCGTCTTCGTCATCCTCGTCCTCGTCGCCGTTGACTTCCACGTTTTCTTTACCACTGGCTTCAGCCGGCTTTTCAATAGGCGCAGTGGTGCCTGTGAAGCTCTGCTTCCTCAAAGCCTCCCGCTTTTCCTTCAACCTCCGAACCCGTGCCTCGAGCTCCTCCATATCCTCGAATTCCGTTTCCAGTGCCCGAGTAGCCTCCTCTTTCTCATCAAGTAGGTCATTCTCCGCAAGCAAGCGTCGTTTTTCTTGTTCCTCCTCCTCTGTCTTTGCTGCCGCTGCAGTCTCCTCGGCCGTCATGGCTGGTGCAGCAATGACAGCGTCCTCCGAATACGGCACTGTTGTCGCAGCGATATCCGCCTCAAATGCTGCCCACTCGTCCTCATCGACGGCCCCCCCAGAAGTCTTCACGGCTGTGCCATTCTGTTGTGTTACCGGGCCGGCAGTGACCGGCTTCGTCGGCAACTCCTCTTGTGGGATCAATGGCGAGGGACCAACGGGCTGCACGATGGGGGTCGAATTTGAAGAATTCGCATCCCGATGCGCAGGAGTATGCGGGCGCGACGGAATCTGAATCTCAACCCCCTGAACTGGTGTGGTGGACGTTCGGCGGTTTAGCGAAGGTGGTGTGAGTGTTACGTCTTTGCGATCGCGGTCTGACTCGCCAGCGGACAGGCGAGCAGGAGTGCTCATATTCCCCTTGCTTCGCTTCTTCCGCACCGCATCGGCTTCGTCGTCATCTTCCATATCCTCATCCGAGTCGTGTTTCCGCTTGTTCGAGGACATTCCGTCTGCGGCCGCCGATCCGCTCGCGCTCGTGGACGCTTGCTGCACCACCTTGACCTTGGCCGTATGTCCGGATCCGCGGATATGGCTATCCCAAAGAGACTCGGACTTGATCGCCTCGTGACAGAGGGTGCAGAGGAGCTTGCCCGCATCGGAGTAGGCGGCGTGAGGGTGCTCGATTCGTCTGGCAGCACGTTGCTGACGGAGGAGGGATCGTACGTCGGCCATGGTCAGTATGAACGCGTCTTGATGACACCTAAACGTGCGCAAATGCTCCGTGGACTCGGGTATGGCGAGGACTATGCTCAATGGCGCGTAGGTGTTGGGGTCGGAAAGCCAGGCGAACTTGTATTCGGGCTAAGATTTGTATGGAAGCAACGCAAACGACGTAGCGTGGTAGCGAAGCCGTACCTTTGCTCTGGCCTGGGAAGTGGAGGTGACAAGGTGCAGGTGCCAGGTGGGCAAAATTGGCGCCAGTCCGATTCAAGCACAGCGGGGTTGGCAGAGCGCAAAAGGTCTGCCGACGCTACCCCGGGTGCCCATAGCTTGCCAATCGGGGCTGACGGGCCTGGCTCCTGCCTCGACAAGGCCGATCTTCAGCTGTCTGTGCCTTCAAGGTCCCGTCGCGCAATTCGCAGTCGCATTAAAGTCTAGCCCGCATTCCACCATTTCGACGCTACCGAGACAATCACACCTCAGGAATGTCAACACACGACTGACTAGGGAATGATCACGACCCTTCACCGACCAAAGATCGTTCAACCCTCTCAGCGACGATACCCTCGCCATAAACATGGCCGACAACCCAGACGAGCCATCGCAAAATGCGCTGGCCTCGACATTCCCCAACCCGCCGCCGTTCTGGAGAGACTTCACCCCGGAAAACGTAGCCAGGATAGAAGAGCTGCGGAAAGCGCAAGCAGAGAAGGATGGCGTTACCGTCAAGGATTTGCCAGCCCGCATACCAGATGTTCCCGAAAGCCTCATAAACCTTCAACCTCCGGCTGAGCCGCTGGCGGGAACATGGAAAGTCTTGGGCGGAAACTACACGGTACGTTCTGTCGACTCGTGAGGACTGAGTGGTAACAGAGACGCTGATACTCAGCGTAGCTCGATGACAAGCTTCCTTCTCTCGAGGAAGGTGAGATCAAGCGATTGGTACCGGCGCATTCAGAGGAGAAGGACGGAAAGCATCTCGATCGAGCCTTCGAGCTCAAGAAAATGGCCAAGTCTCTTCTGCTTAACTTTCTCGAGCTCGTTGCCGTCATGGCCACGGTGCCAGACGACGTAAGTGAACGACCACCTTTCCCTCTTCCCCCCAAACCTAACCAGTCCCAGGCTGCTACAAAAATCGAAGACTTGCGCACCCTCTTCATCAACTTCCACCACGTCTTGAACGAATACCGACCCCATCAAGCACGTGAATCGGCTATTGCGCTGATGCAATCCAATCTCGATCGTACAAGAGCGGAAACGGCTGCGATTCGAGCACAAGTTGACAAGGCCAAGCGAGTTCTCGAGGGCTTGGGAAGCCTTGATACACCCAAAGTACCGGACGTTGTCAGCCCAGTCGTCGATGGCGAACTGACTAGTAAAGAAGCGGAGGCTTTTGCCAAGACGAGAGAGCAAGAAGTATGGGGAGAGGCTGATGCTTTGTTTCTCTAGCAAGGGAACGAGCCGTCAGCTACCACATGGGAAGACAGCTTCATGACCCTCGTTCCATGGGTCTTTGAGCATTCCGGAACCTGAATACACGCATTGGTCGGCAGGGCGGTGACAGTGATGAACAACAAAAGTTACGTGGTGTCTTTGGCAAGCATTGATACCCAACTTCATACCCGATTAGGGATGAACCATGAGCGAGTGGCGTCGATAAGACAAGGCAATGCAAAAAGAGATGCTCCCACAACGTGATATTGGAACAGATGACGACGTGGGTGCTCTTCACGAGTTTGCAATGGGGAAAACAGCCTTGGAGTCAACGACGTAGACGATAGAATAGCCACAGGGCAAATCATGAATTCATGCTCGACTGGCATGGTACCAGTTTCAAAGATATCAAAAGCAGCAAACGGTATCAATCCTCCATAGCGTCGCTACATTGCGCCCTCAAGAAAAGCCTCAAACCCAACCTAAGCCAAATTGCACTTCCGTCCTGCCGCAGCTGGATTCTCTTACATGACGGTGCAGGGAATGGGGATGCAGCAGCACTCGTATCCGTCGCACTCGATGCACTTGGTCTTGCCGCCCGTGGCCTCGGCGGGCTTGACGATGCTGTCGATGATGGAGGTGGCCGCGCTGCCAGGGCCGTTGCGGTTAACGAGACCGGAGGAAGCTGAGCCGCAAGCCATTGTGAATGTGGTCTTGTACTGGAAGAGTTGAGAAAGATGGGTAGATGGGAGTCTACAATATTGTTAGTTGCTGATGATATTGACTTTTGCTGAGGTAGATGCGCATGTGACGTCACGGCCAGAGCTCTCTTACTCACAGATGACTAGATAGCAGTTAAGTGACTGTTGGATAGATGAACAGTTGAAATTTGAAGATGTCGAAAGAAGGTTGAGACGGTTCAAGTAGGGTAGTCTTGATTGAACAATGGATGTCTGCTCTCACAAAGGAAAAAGGCGGTCCAGACCCAGTTTCAGCCATCCTTAAATAAAATGCCACCACCCCCGTGCCCCCTCAACCCAATGCTTGAATCTCCAAGGTCCCGTGTTTCTAAATCCAGCAAGGTTGTCGTCATGGCGTGGTGGGGTGCAAGGCATAAACCCGGCAAAATGCTGTGGCTAAACCGACTTCGATTCGTCGGCCTGCTCAGCCAACCAGTGGCAGTGCGAACCGGCTTCCGGGCCCGGGGTGTGCCCCCGATACCTTTCTCTGCTGTTGGTGTTTGCCCGTCTCACTGTTCATGCCGGACGGGAGGTGGGGGATTGGTTCCTGTTGAAAAAGCAAGTGCAATATTTGACTTACTACTCGCTGACAGCCGTTTCGGCACTTTAATGAGTCGTAGAGGATGACAGCCCGGGCTGTTGACTCGCGACAGACCCAGCGCTGGAAATGACCGAGATGAGAGATCTTGGCGAGTTTGGTTGAGACTTGGGACTCACTGGCGGCATCGCTTTGGCCGAATTCCACCACGAGGCCAAGAAGCAATGAATTGCCGTGTTCCGGAAAACGTGAATATGAGGCTAGCAGAAGCCTATCAACTACGGAGTACGGAGTGGTATCTGCCTGCACCATTGAGAGCAAGTATAAGGTACTTACTTAGTCGGCCAGATTCAATGTCCTTCTTTTAAACGCCCTTGCAATCGAAAGTTGACTCTAGACCTGGACTGATTATTACCGGCAGGAACTAGCGATCCAAATCACAATGCAGACAGACACACACGAGAAACGTGAAAGAACAGCTTTGGTTACCCCTATTTCAATACAGCTAGACAATGAACTCCGTAGCAAATCCCTATTTAGCAAAGGCCCAAATGCCCCCCCCCCCCCCCAACACACGAGGGAGCGGTATCTCCGTCTCTCAGTCCCAAGAGCTCGCGTAAAACCCAATAAACAGCTACCTATGTACCGCGAATGAGAGGATATACGCTTTTGCAAGCAAACTTCTCTAGCTTGCCCATCCAATAACGACCCAAGATCACGCCGAAGGCGCAACACCCTGCGCGCCTTGCGGAGCCGGGGGAGTAACGTCGCTACTCTTAGCAGCTGGCGGCTGTTTCTCCAAGAGGTGGCTCAGATAGCTCAGGTCATTTCGCGCCCGCAGATCTCTCTCCAAGATGCCCCGAACCACCTCCCATTCTGTACGCGACATCTGGAAGGCTTGAGGCAGCAGAAACTTCATCGTGGGACTATTGATCAAAGGACCCAGAACCTCTTGTGCCAACGCCTGGCCTTGTTGTTGACGTTGTTGGTTTTCGAGTTCAGCGCCGCGAGCGGCCGTATAGCCCGTGGGAGGCTGGTTGGGCGGAACCACCTGATGTGCCCCTTGTGCTGGGTGTTCCTGTAAAGCGTGGGCAGTGTTACCAACAGAATGTCCCGGTTGCTGGAAGGGGCCTTGGGCAACCGTTGGCGAGAATGCCGGGCCAGATATCGAGGGATGTCGTGGGGGGAAGCCGCTCTGCGTAGGAGTTGGCACATTGGTAACGGGTGATTGAGATGCAGTACCGCCTAACTGAGGCTGTCTGGGGGTATTGCGGTACACAAAGACGGCCAACAACATAGGCTCCATCCTCTTCTGAGGGACAAGGTTATCCGAGAAGTTCAGCATGAACTCTGGCATGTTGCTGTCCCCCGGAAGGACAGGAACCAAGTAAGTATCCCTCACATTGCCCACGCCCTTGTCGCCGACAACCGCGTAGCGCTTTTTGGAGACGAAATAGTCAATGAGGGCTTGAAACTCCCGTCTATAAACCTCGGACGACGGCGTTATTGCCACGACAACAATATCGGTCTGGTCAGCGTAGCGCAAGCCGCAAAGATACTCTATCGCCTTCTGTTCGTCTATGCGTCCGGCAACCGTGAGCTTCTTTGGGATGAGGCTGGTCCAGGGTAATGCGATGGTGGTAGAGAGGTTGGCGCCACCGACAAACCTGGCCGCAGCCGGGAAGTCGGCAATCGAGCTCATTACCAAGTGGCCACGCCAAATGACATCAGGATCTGTCTCATCGGTTGGCGAATAGGGTGGAGAGTCCGTTTCTTCCTGCAGAAGTCTATCCACGTCTGCGTCAACACCGGGGCCATGGTTTGGCGCCGACGGGCGGCGGTTGTGTGTGCCCGTGGGAGATTTGACGGTTGCGTAAACCTTGTTGATGTCGAAGTCGGGATGCTTGGGAGAGTGTCGGGCTCCACGGGTATCGATGTGTAGACCAGCATGGGCAGGAAGCTCCACCGAGTTCTCGTAGTGCGATTCCCCATCGGACTTGATGCCAGCTTGCCCCTCTCGGCCACTTGGTCGTCTAATGAAAGACCTGCCTTCGTCATTCTGATGGAAAGACTCGTTCTCGATGATCTCTTCGCCCTTGTGCGTTCTCCTCATACGAGGACCATCTTCGGTTATAAGGATCGACTGCTTCTCAGAGATGGCCTTCAGCTGAGCGTTGGCCTCTTGCCTTTCCTTAGTAGCCAGCTCGTCGGCGGACATTGTGGCTAGCATAGTTGGCGATAGAGTACGCTTCAATAAGCGTTTGGTTAAGTCGCCGTTTAACTTCATATTCGCATATAGGATTCGCGCCTGCATTGCGTACTGGCTCCGGTCCGGGTGTGCATCGTGAACCGCGCGTTCAATCTCGAGTGCCATGCGCTCCGCTTTAGCCGCAATACTGGTATCTTTCGGGAGGCTGATGGTCTTGTCCTTGATACCAGCAGTGAGGCTGCCGGCAACAGCCTTTTGCAGGAGTTGGGCGGGTCCCTTGCGATCCTCTTGGAGATCGCTGACCTTTACATCGAGGTCGGCCGGTGCGGTGTAGTTGACGGCAGGGGATGCCTCTGGCTCCGAGACTTTGCGTTGCTTTGGCGCAGGGATCTAGAAAGGGCAGAGTCAGCAATGCTCTGCACGAGTGTTCGGGAAGAGGGGAGGCTTACCTTTGCTTCCTTTTCACCAGTCTCCTCTCGCGTCTTGCGCTTGCCAGTGGCGGTCTTAGACGCGACGTCCTTCTTGTCCTTCTTCTCCTTGACAGGTTCTGAGGGAGCGGGTGAATCCTCGGCTTTGTTACTCCTTGTGTCTTGCGACAACTCTTCTTTGGGGTCGCTGGCGCGCTTTCCGGCTCTACCGCCCTTCTTCTTTTTCTTCTTCTTCTCGTTCTGTTCGTCCTCGTAGGCCTTTCGGCGAGACTCCCATGGGCGCTCGCCTTGTTCCATGAGAGACAGTAGTTCCTTGTGATCCTGAGGAGCACACTGCTCGCAGTAGTAGTTTTTAGGGAGATCTTCAGTGAAGACACTCATACCCATGCAAACGTTGTGCTGCCATGCTGTGCATTTGTCGCAAGCGATCCAAGGCTCCTCCGAGTCGCCATCCTGCTCCGTTGCGCCGCAGACGCAGCGGATAATCTCTTCTTCTGGCTCCTCCTCTTGCTTCTTCTTCCTTCCTCGTTTCTTGGGCGGTTCGATAGGTTGGTCGTCGAAGGCCTTGGTATGCTGGCCTTTGGTTGCGCGCACAGAGCGGCGAGGTTCCGGTTCTCCTTTACGAACCATGCTGGTTAGATCTTGCAGGTAAAGAATGCGGTGGTGTATGTGTGCGTGCTTGTGCTTGTGTGTATGTTTTGGGAGGAAAGACGGGCGGTGGCTGGCTGTGGGGCAGCGTGAAGGTGGTTGCGACACTTACCAGACATAATGGCTTTGTTGCCAGCGGTGGCAGGAAGGAGAGGTGGGAGCGTTCAAACGTCCGTCTCCCTTTGTTGGGAAGGAGCGCGAGGGTGCACCTTTGGGGGAAGGTATGGGATCTACTCCAGTTGTCGATTCAGGAAGGTCCGGTGTCCTCTGTCTTTCTCAGGCATGCATTGGATTTTATGGCAGAGCAGGAAAAAAAAGACTATGATATGTGACCCATCCAAGATACGCGCGCGACACAACAGGCTTGATGCGAAGGGCGCAGACCGCGCGGGAACCCTTCCAATTGTCCCTCTCGAGTGACTTCCAGCACAGATAGGGAATATACCGTCGCGCGACACAGTTTGCGACAGCGAAATCAAGGTCGATCGTGGGGGGGAAGCAGTGTTCGCGTGCCGCTTTTTGGGTTGTGTGGAAGAGGAGCAGAAGGGAGCTTGCGCAAAGGTGGAGGTGATTTGAGTGGGTTGCGGTGCGGTGCGCTGCGATAAAACGGCGCGAGGTTGGAGGGAAAATGCCGAACCGCCTCCACATCCTGTCATTATGTAAGCGTCGTTAACCATGATCTTGGGCCCATCGCTCGGTGAGAAGTGCACGGATGCCGGGGAGGCGGGGGATGCATCGTTATGGCCTTGATGCCTGGTTATCTTCGGTGAGGAAGGTGAGAGAACCTCTGGCCCCCCGTCTGAGTTGGAAAGCAAGACGATGAGGTAAGAGCCTCCCGGTAAAAGCTCGGACCATCCTTACCTCAGCGGCTCAGCCCTCCCCCCGGTTGCTCCCCTAGGCTCGCTGGCTGGCCGGCTAGCAGCGCAAGCAGCTAACGCGTGCGTCGATTGCCTGGAGCTTCATCGAGCTGCACCCAAAGTCGTAGCCTTCCCTGCAGACGACCAACAAACCATCCTGCCGCAACTTCACACAAATCCGATCGTCGGCTTCACAAACGAGATCAATACCGCAATCGAACCTTTAGTCCCAGCCAAGTGCAACTCGATTTCTCGCCCATCATGTCTCGCAGATACGATTCACGCGTAAGGCCCCTCCCCGCTCTTCCCTTGCTCTACGTCCCCTCCATCCTCGTAGGGCAGCAAGCTCACCCTGTGTGTTAGACAACAATCTTCTCCCCGGAGGGCCGTCTCTACCAGGTCGAATATGCTCTTGAGGCCATCTCTCACGCCGGAACTGCCATTGGCATCCTCGCCAAGGATGGCATCGTCTTGGCCGCCGAGCGCAAGGTGACTTCAAAGCTGTTGGAGCAAGACACTTCAGCTGAGAAGCTGTACATCGTCAACGAGTACGTACTTGTGAGCTCAGCATGGTATCTCTAGACTCTGACGCTCTTGCCTTCTAGCAACATGCTTGCTGCCGTTGCAGGTATGACGGCCGATGCCAACATCCTCATCAACTACGCCCGTCAGGCCGCCCAAAGATACCTCCTCACCTACAACGAAGACATTCCATGCGAGCAGCTCGTCCGAAGACTATGCGATCTGAAGCAAGGATACACACAACACGGTGGTCTGAGACCGTTCGGTGTCTCCTTCATCTACGCCGGATGGGACCCTCGCAGACAGTTCCAGCTGTACCAGAGCAACCCTTCAGGCAACTACGGCGGATGGAAGGCAACGGCTGTCGGTGCCAACAGAGCTAGTGCAGAGAGCTTGTTGAAGCAGGACTACAAGGAGGATTGCACTCTGAAGGAGGCTTGCGGCATGGCAGTCAAGGTTCTTAGCAAGACCATGGACTCAACGAAGCTGAGCGCCGAGAAGCGTACGTTATGACCATGACCACCCTTGAATCTGCGAATTAATACTAACGGATGTAAACAGTCGAATTCGCCACGGTCGGCCAGACGAGTGACGGCAAGATCTACCACAGACTCTGGACCGCAGAGGAGATCAAGGAACTGCTGAAGGAGCATGATCTGGCAAAGGACGAGTCCACGGAGGACAAATAATGGCATGGATGAATTCAAAAACATAGACGGGGCGTGATGATTGCCCTTAACCCTGATGTACCAATAAAATTGATGCCCCCAAGTTTCCGGAACCCCAGACCCCCCAAACCCCTAACAGGTTGCTGCCAAGATGCAAATGCGATTGCGATATCCCCGGGTGAACTGTAAAATGGCATGTAGTGCAGAGGTGAAAAACCAGGCTCAAGATGAAGCACAATAAAGCAAGGCAAGAGTGCAGTAAACACGAGAAACAATGCGGTGATTAGTCTTACGTGTGTAGATGGCTATGTCGATGGCTCGTTTGTTGCGTTCGCACTCTATGAAGGACCCTACTGACAGTGATTAGTGCCTCTGGCTATTTAGCTGGGTCATCTCATAGCCTACGTCGGGTCGCGAGTTCCCAGCTTCCTCCTCGTCTCGCAGACGGTTCCACCCGGTCTTGGGGTCTGATCCAGGATAGGGATGGGGTTCATGGCATTCCCTGGCGGTCAACTTCGGCCAGTGTCGCCGATAACTCCAGTACGCAACCACGTAACCAAGCAGAGAGCCCACGGAAACATCATACACGTCGTGTCTGTAGTCCTCACACCTGCTGATGGCGATGAGTGCAGCCCCCAGCAGCGGCAGAAGGCAAATAAGGGCGCGGCTAAGGTCTCGGCCCCCGCTGTTGTGTCGGAAAATGTGCAGCTGGCCAGCCAAGAACAAGCTCAGGAAGCCCAATCCAGAGAAAGAGAAAGACGAATGGCCCGATGGGAAGGACCGCCAACCATCATGGAGGAGATGGTGTGCAGTCTCGGTGCAAACATCGATGGTAACAAGCACATCAGGCTTCGTGCCAGCCGCCGGCTTACATCTGGCCAATAAGTCGGGACGCGGTCGGCCGACAGTATTCTTGACGAGGTCCGTGAGAAAGGAGCCCATGATGATGGCGATGGCAAAGGACAGGTAAGTGACCTCGTGCTTGTGAGGCGATGCTTTTGTGACAACATTATACGCAACCAATACGCCTAGCGGTATAAAGAGGGCGTAAACGAAGTTCATGTCTAAGGAGGTATCAGTCATATTCTCAAGGAATTTCCAAGGGTCCATCTGTGCACTAACAAACAGGTACGCGCTCGACCTCGGCATGAGGGTATGAGATATGCAGATCATTGATGAAGAACATGCGGTGGAATGGCTCAATAAACAATAGCATCTAAAGAAGTCGTCAGCACTGGGAGCTATGCTATGGACATGCATCGTGAAGAACCTACCACGATCCACCCAGTAAGGAGAATCGCGAATCCGAGGTAGTCTGGTGCATGAGTTCTCTACAGATACCCTGTCAGACGATCTCGCAGCCTTGCTTGTATGAGAAGAACATGAGCGAGTACGCTACCTTCCAAAACCTGGAGAATGCGGATGCGACAGCATTTCCGCTTGAACCACTGTCCCGACGGCCTGGTGCCATGTTGAGCAGTCACCGTCGTCGAGTTGCACGAAAGGCTGCTTGAAACATCTACAACTTCTTGCTGCGGCAATAGGTGTTGATCGAGGGCGCTGCAGTGAAGATGAGGGAGCTCGAACGCCGAACGTGAGCTGAGTCTATAAGAACAAAAGGAGCGACGGCAGACAATGAAAGGTGAACAAGCGCCAACGACTAGCAGCAGTCACTTGATCAAGATGCAGATCCTCCGACCAATTGTCCCTAGGGCGAGCCTTCCACCTTGGATGAACTTGAAGGGGCACGGGGGGGTGTGTCCTCCGGTGTATGTGGCGTTTTGATTGGGGGATTCGAGCTCGTGAGCTGTGACGCTTCCCCGAGCTGAGGTGGGCTGGCTGTAGGGGTACGAACCTCTAGAAGCCGCCTTATCTTATCGGATGCCCGAAGATTCTCCGCCCGAATCCGTTCTTCGCATCTGGACCTCCGAAAATCAACAACTCTATTGTGATCGTGATCTGACGGTTAGCATTACAGACACTGCTAGCAAGCGCACCATTCTCACCTTGCTCAGTATGCTCAAGTCGACATATAAGCCCACCGCAAATACTGCGGCGCCTCCCTCCCTGCTTCCTGGATGGACAGAGCACACTGCGCCGAGTGGACATAAGTACTACCACAACAGCCAGACACAAGAATCTACATACACGAGACCCAGTGCCCCGGACGCTACTGCTGCACCTTCAACGGTTTCGACGAGCTTCCTTCAATATCAGACCGTTCCTCAACTCTCCGATCCCAGTGTCGCAAACGCATATGTTGCACAGTACAACGCGCAGCATCAGCCTCCGTCACAGCGAGGAGGCTTCGGTCACGGAGGCAGGGGAGGTAGGGACGCACGCCCGCGTCCCGAGCCGGTGGACAAACCGAAGTCTAAAGTCGCGATCCCAGGATGCGAGCCTTGGATTCTAGTCGACACCAAGTACGGGCGTCGCTTTGTCTACAACCCCGAGAAAAATGCTAGCTACTGGCGCATTCCAGAAAAGCTCACGGCTGGTATATTGGAGGTGGACAAGGCCAGAATTCGCGAGAAAGCTGGGATCAGGAGTCCCACAGGGACAGTCAAGGAGGGACCACCGACAGCCCAAACTCGGCCAACGTTAGATGCTACGGAATCCACAACCTATGATGGCAACGAGGACAGCTCAGAGTACGAGGAAGTCGAGGTTACGGACGACGAAGGCGAGGACCAAGATGGGGAGGACGGACCTGCTTCCAAGCGCCAGCGCACAGAAGGCGCGGCCGATGACGCGCCTGTAGAATTCAGCGAAGCGGATATCGCATTTCAACTACAAGCAATGGGCGATGCCTACGGACTAGACCCGGGAGAATATGACGACGGCAACATGGACGAGTGGCCTGAAGGCGCAGAGGGGGTCGAGTTCTCGCAAGAAGACGCCGCCGCGCTGTTCCGAGATTTACTAGAAGACTTCAAAATCAGTCCATACAGCACGTGGGAGAAGCTGATTGAGGATGGAGATATTATTGAGGATCCGAGATACACGATTCTCAATACGATGAAGTCACGCAAGGAGACCTGGTCGGAGTGGACCAAGGACAAGATCAAGGAAATGAAGGAACGTCGGGCCAAAGAAGAGAAGAAGGATCCGCGGATACCGTACATGACGCTACTGCAGGAGAAAGCGTCGCCCAAGCTCTTTTGGCAAGAGTTCAAAAGGAAACATCGGAAAGAACCATCCATGACGGACCCCTACGTCAAAGACAAGGACCGTGAGAAGTGGTATCGCGAGCACATCAACCGTCTCAAGATGCCCCAAGCCACACTCAAGGCAGATCTCGCCACGCTTCTAAAGTCACTGCCACTTTCTGTACTGAACAACAAGACGAACATGTCGCACCTACCACCGCAGCTGCTCGTCGACATCAGATATATCTCTCTGCAGCCACAGGTGCGGGATCCTTTGATCGAGGCCTACATACAGACTTTGGGACCACCTCCAGAGGGTGATGCAACCGAGCAAGAGGATGAAGCGACGCGCAAGGCTCGGGAAGCTAGAGATCGGAGAGAAAAGGCACTGCATGAGCACGAAGAGAAGGTTGCAGAGCAAAAGAGAAGACAGCAACGGAGTCTCGAAATGGGCAAGGCCCGACTTCGAGAGGAAGAGCGCGAAATCGAACGAGCAATGCAGGTTGGCAAGCGAGGTTTGCAGAGCCAGCTGGCCAGTGCCCAGAAGAATGATCAGCCTGATGCATAGAATGAACGTGGCTGGGTTAACTGATAATAGACACACTTGAAATTCCAAAAACAAAATTCCAGCAAACCAGACGCGTGCTTTTCACAATCAACGTCAATCTTTCGTGTCTCCTGTGATAGGGTCGTTCCGCAATAGTCCGGTCTTGGCACTAACAACGCAGTCAGCCCGTTGATGTTTCGCTCCGCCGACTGCTGCAGGAACCGGGTTTCATGCACGACCACAATGATGTCTTTTTCACCATCCAAGCCTCTCATCACATCCAACTTGACTCGGGCCTCGCAGACGCGTCATGCAGGCCTCCCAACGGATGCAGACCAACAATGTTGGACGGAACCATCATCCATGGGTTGAGTTGAAACTCTTTGCTCCTTCTTGGTCCTGATACTTCATAATACAGTCAGCGCAGTCATCGTAGGAACGTGCTGCCTGCAGTCTGCGGTCGAAACACCATGATCTAGTTGTTTGATCACCCAGCCACACTTCAACGTCATTCCTTACTCTGCCATCCCTTTTTACCGCGAGTAGAAACATACTTTGATACTCGTGGGGAATCAGTTCGGATTGATACCTCTCGCTGTTCCTGCCACGACACTAGTGACACCAACTGGTGTGTTCGTGCGCAGGATCGACTGAAAATCGGCGGCCCGCCCATTGGCTCGTCGGCCACGTCGGTCATCTCGGTCACAGCAGGCTGACCGTGCTCGCACATCCCCAAGCGCACTCCGTTGTCAGACGAAGTACCAGGCGATGGAGCATACTGCCATATCAATTAGTGTCTTGAATGACAGCAGCCCTTGGGCTTCGGCTTGAGAGCCCGGCCTCGTGTCTTTTTAGTATAAGCCATTCCTCGGTTCGTTTCTCTGACTCCGGTACTCTGAGTCTCTGCTTTTCGAACCAAGACAACAGCGCACTTATACACATCATGGGCGTAACAACACTCACAGCATTTGGCATCGTCGCCCTAGGTAAGGAGTTAATACAATTCGACTAGGTGGACATGACTGACGACAGACTCAGCTTCGGTGGTACTAGCGCAACAATTTCCAGGAAACTTCCCGGGTAACGGCAACGGCAACGGCAATGGAAATGGGTTTGGGAACGGCAACGGCGGCAATGGTTTCGGAGGAAACTTCAATAACTTTGTCGGCTTCAATATACAGGAGGCGATGCACACACGAAGGATCCACGGCATATTAGGGACAATCGCATTCGTCATCGTGTTTCCCATCGGCTCGATCGCCATGAGAATCATTCCTGGACGCTTCAGCTGGCTTATCCACGGTCTCATCCAGATGGCCGGCTTCGTTCTCTACATCGCTGCTGCCGCCCTGGGTATCAAGTTGACGCAGCAAGTCACATTTGGTGGAACAAGTTTAGTAAGTCACATTCCACTCTGCGTCTAATATCCCGAGGGCTTTCACACTAACGCATTCCAATAGTATGAGATCAGCACCATCAACTTCCACCCAATTATCGGTCTCGTCCTCCTGGCCATCTTCTTTTTCCAACCCATTTTCGGCTACATCCATCATGTTCAGTTCAAGAGGTATGGCGTTCGCCAAATCTGGTCACACATCCACCTGATCATCGGCCGCCTCCTCATTCCGCTGGGCATCATCAACGGCGGTCTAGGCTTATACATCTCCAACTCTCCCAAAGAGTTCAAGATTGCCTACGCCATTCTCGCTGCCGTATTTGGCATTACATGGATCTTTGTCTCGGTCATCAGCGAAAGCCGCCGCAGTCGCCAACCGGCCGTGGTGGTTGTCGAGGAACACAAGCTCAGGAAACGGTCCCGTGGTCGCAACAGCGGAAGCCGGGGCTCGTCGGACTCGGATCCGAAGATTTGAATGCCTAAAATTGTCTTTTCATGAATTATGAGACGCCAGTTGAGGCAAATGTGCCACATTGATCGCACAACGTTGACTCATGGTGGCGATCGGACGAGCTACCAAAGCAAACTTTTGAGGATTGGCGAGAAAGCAAAGTCTAGGGCAGATCTCATATCGAATGTCTTTATCTTGCCAGAAAGTATGAAATACCACATGCAAGTATTTGCTTTTTGAGAACAGCCGAGTGTCTCGTAATTACAAATCTTCTGGAGGTAACCCTCGACTTTCATGGCCTTACGTTGTCGCCTAATAAGATCACACGGAGACTAAACAATCCCTTTGTGGTATCGCGGAATATGTACATGATGACATAATATTTGCCTACAGGCACAATCCGAGTAAACAAACCACTAACCCGCCGGGATCAGTCTTGCTAAGGCTTTGGTTCAGGTGCAATGAAGATGACCATGTCATGAACGACTGGGAAGCGTCTTTGGGCACTAAGGGACAACAGAACACAAGGCAGCTGAGTGTTTCTAAGTTACTCGTACTGGGGCACGCGCCGCGAGACAAAAATAGATAGAAAAATGTCGGCTGTGTTGCTTTCGAGGATGGTTGTTGGTATTAAACGCAATAAGCGCTTACATCAGAGGCTCAAGATAATTTCGCATACCAATATCTTGGGGAAATTTTTCTTATCTAGAACACTGAAACATGATGCAAATTGGAAGGCATTGACGCACACCATGCCTCCCTCCAAACTGCATCATGCTTCGGTTGATGATGATCGGAACTAACTGTTGCAAGAAGAAGGTCTTGCTCAGTTGCCATAATGCCATAACTAGGTGTAATCCATTGGCATCTGAACTACACCGCTTCAAGAATGACGTATGTGGAAAGCTCACTACACGGGCTTTAGAAGACGTTTTGAAAATTCCATAGATTTCCCAAAGTACTTTACTCAATGAGCTCTACTCAATATTTGAAAACGAATCGAGAATAGCTATTACGGAAACCGAATCGAGGCTGGAAAGTTCCTCTCCCTACCAATTGAGTAGGATGATTCCGCAAAAAAAAAAAAAGAAATTGAAGTAAAACTTCATCTCGTAGAGCAACGGTTAAACATGAAAACATGACATATGACTCTCGACTTGTCGACATCTAATCCAGGATCATTAGAGTGCCAGAGGGTTGACGTATTTTGTTACCTACAGTCATGACCGTAGACGGAATGGCTGACTCCGATATCTCAACAAATTTGAACAGATTTGAACATTTTCCACGAGGTCAAACGGCTGCTCTGAAAGTCATGTCGTATACCACACTTGAAGGTATCGAAGACGTGAGGAGTCTTTCATGACTTGATCTATACATAACTTTCAGTCAACTTTGGAAAGCTGCACAAATAGTTCATTCTCTCAAATAGTCGTCGGAGAGGAAACTCAGTTTCTCTTCGATCTCTCGGAATTGCTCAGAGCCCTCAGTGGGTATCAAGACGAAGCCGGAAGGTCACGGTGGGAGGCCGAAGTCCCAGAACTTCGTTGCTCTCGACTCATCGGGCACTTTTTGGACGTAAAGTTGGTGGACGGAAGCCTAGCCTCCAAGAAAAGAAAATTTCTTCTTCCAATGTCCTTTGGGGGAAAAGGGAGCGAGTATTTCTCCCAAGAGTCCAGTATCTGCTCAGGGTAGAGCATCATGGTAACCTTTTGAATGTGACGCTGCAATGGCGAGGCAAGAAAAAAGAACATGGATCAGGGGACAAAGAGAGAGGAGAAGAGATGCCCTAAATTGGCGCAACCCGGTGTGCCGATACACACTCAGTTTCCCTGTCTTTCTGCCTTGAGTCGGATTGAAGGGACGGGCAGGAGTCTATGTGCAGTGTTGTGTAGAAAACCCGAGAGGCAACAGAATGATATTGAGGCAAGAGGACTTTCAAGCCAATGCGCCGCTCAATAATACATTTTCTTGTCATCAAGGACCTCTATTAAGGCAAGTAAACGACCATGCAAGGCAGGCGTCACTAAAGATGTCGCCAGAACGAATCAAACAAAGAGCGCATGAAGATACAGGACATCTCTCGTCACTGCTAGAAAATGCCTCGTGAACCTTGATATGGAGCTGCTCCAATATACTTTAATACAGAAGAGACAGGAAGGAATGCACCACAGAGGCCAAGTTGAAATTCAACCAGCTCGTACCTACGTAAAGCTGGTTCAACTTCTCTTTGTTCAAGGCCACATTTTAGTAAACCAGTCTGACTTCATGGCGATGAACAATTCTGCTATTTCTCTTCTCATAGCCAGAGAACATCTTTTTGAAGGCTGACATAGAGGCAAAGGGGGAGAGGCAAATTGAAACAACAAAAACTTTCTCGGGTGGCGGACAGAGGTGCTGCAGGCAGCGCGCCGAAATTTGGAGAAGCTACGGGCTGAGTGCTCATTTTCGATCCGGAAAAGTGTTTTGACAGCCATAAACCCCTTCCAAGCGCGAATTACTGGGCAACTAGCTCAGGGAACCCACGCATTTGTAGGGCTTGATTTCGCTCAATGCAAAGATGGTTTCTCTAGAGTTGCAATATGTTGAGATTGAGATCATTGAAGGAGCCAGCCTTTGTCACGACGTCAATCCGCCGATACTGTGGACAGCGTAGTCTAGGTGGACCAAGCTACGCAAAGGGGCACACGCAAGAGAGGGCGACAATGGGAGCAGAGGGCGTCAACATGATGTGCAAAGCCTTGAAATCATAATATGAAAGAATGACCCGTCTTTCAAGAGACAAAGTAGATCTCAACTTGATGATGTACGTCATGGCTGTATGACCAAGACACTATCTTGAAGTCTGTACGCATTACGCCGCGCAAGCCGCGGAAAACCACAGTAGAAAAGAACTGGACCTACAAATCCAAAAAATGGAAACACATGATGGCGGGGAAATTTGGTTATTGCTGAAATCACCAAGAGAGATATTGCGTCAATGTACATGGAAAACCAACGGGAACGACTCTCGTGTCTCCCATCCTGCCAAAACAGGATTGCATTTCCGTCTTGTCAGGGTATCGGAACAACCCCGACATCCCGGTGCATTGCGTTCAGGAGGCCGAGGTTACACGGTTCCAATAGCCCCAACCAACAAGACCCGGCTTTCCGAACATGGGGCGATTTCCCTTCTGTGGACAAGGGGAACATTTCTCTCAGGGTGAATGCGACATCGTCTTTGGTGAATGTTGTTCGAG